TGCGCTAGAAAATTGCAGAGAAAACGTTCGTTGTGACTAAAATTTTGTAAACAACCGCGATCATCATCTCGCAGACACAATTTGTAAAAAACTACCCTTCCGTGCTTCGATTTCCACTGCTATCTTTAGCAATCCATCAAATCAATCAAACGAAAAAGCGAGGGGCTTTAACCAAACAAAGTTATCGAATGTGAGAAAAACGAAATATATGTGACTGCAATGTGGGCATAAGCACTAGCGTAACGCTGTTTACGACATCCGGACACATGTTACTGTGTATCCCGAACCACGGACTGTGCGAACCTCGGCGATTCCGAACGACTCACAAGACCAAACCTATTGGTCAATAGTCTCAGACCCTCAAATCCGAAACAAATGTAGACATTCTTCCAACCACTATGCTTGTCTGAACTGATATCAGATTAAGGAAACCAATTCCATGAGATGCATAATACACTGGAGTCAAAAAACTGATGTAATTTCAACAGAGAAGTCAGAAACATGGGTTTGCACGATGTATCCATGATCATTTCGTTGCATCTGTGCATACACGTGCATACTGCAATCAGAGTGATATTTATAATCAGTGAGACAATAACTGTGAGATTAGCGATCTTTTCTTTGTCTCACAGTTATTATCTCCCTGAATATAAAAGTTACTTTGACTGCAGTATGCATATGCAGCCCAATGACCATGGATACATTGTGCAGACCCATTTTTCTGACTTCTCTGTTCAAATTTGTCTATACCACATTACATAACTATGTAATGTGGTATGGACAGTGGAGTATGGTTGTGTACGCAGTTTTTATTACATATTATTATGTGACTAATAGCAACAGGGAATCAACAACCTAATCCTTGGGACTTGAATTGGAGAACTACTCAAGGACTCCGTTAGCGTAGGCGTGNTAAGCAGGGGGTAAAAGTGAAGCTGTCTACCATCATCAAAGTTCAGTCGTGGTGGCTGGGTTCGAGCCTCAATCATGCTGGTGCAGGGCTATTTGAATCGCTTGATCCCTATCACCACCACCCCACCACACGGCAACGGCTATCTGTGCACCATGCAGCGAGGGATTGGCCAGAGTGCTGCAATACGGACCGAGCTCTTCTACGGGCAGACGAACTGTCATGATGGAGAGTCACAGTGAAATGTTGTAAAGTTTTGTTTTATCCACACTAATGTTCGTTCAGTTTTTGATTTGCATCATCTATTGAATTATTTCTGATGGTATTATTCCAAGCGATCACTCTTCACTTTCCCAAATAGATTGGGACAATTGAATCTGGAAAACAATTTTGTTATCATAATATATTGCCCGAAATGTTGCACGCTGTCCCATTGCGACTAACCGAATCGACCAAGAATGAGTGTTACGGAGGGGAAAAGACACTGAAATTTTTCGTGATAAACAGAAACACTGAAAGTGATTCGCATCGCTTTGTTTTTCCCGTGATCGTATCAGGTGGTACCTTTCAGACAAATATAAGATCCGTGATAGTAACCAATCATGTGGAATCTTTTTCTGCGTGAAATTCATCTGTGTCGAGGGTGTACAATATACCTCATCATTACCCAGCGGAAGGTGAGGGTATCAGATGATCAAACCTTTCCAGTACTTCGAAATGAAGCTTAATTCAAACATCAGTATGCTGTAGCTCCCGACTTCTTTACAGGTGCTATTCCCATCTGATTTAGTTATACTGTAAATTCTTCATCTTTTATTATAATCCATCAGCCTAAATTATTCAGAATGTGAATGAAACGATCCCCTTCTGCTGTTTATACGAATTCCTCGTACACACTAGGCTATGTGGACGAGTGTTGCTCGCGTGTAAATCTCACTCCTTCAGAATTACTTATCTCCCCACATGATATAATGCACATGGAATGAACAAGAAAAATGTTGGATTTGATGAGCCCTTGTCGTCGACCGCTTGACTTTGGGTTAATGGTGTTTGCTCCCTGAAACCGAAGGATCGCTCTTGGGGACATCAGAAATAAGCACTATAGTGACGAACCTTGACAATAACGAAACAGCCGACCATTCCTCTGTGGCCGATAGCACACCGTGTTCATCGCAAATAAAACGCATCGTTCAGCATACACTTGTTCAGGTAACTCATC